TTGAAAGGGAAAACGTGAGAGACGAAACAATCAAGTTTATTAAGACTCAAGCAAATCGAGAAACAAGTGAACGCCAAAGACAACGATTATTGATGGAGAATTTCTCAGAGGAGAACTGACATATTCTCCGACGATACCGTGGCGTTATTAAACAAATGGCGGTATGTTAGATTATATGTGCAAGCGGTTTTTGGTGCTCAAATTATATATCAATTCTTCTACTTCAAGAACCTTTTGGCAGTTTTAATCTGGTTTAAATTTGCTTTTGAATTTGAAAATCTTCACCTGATACACTTCAAATCTTCTCAGTTAAATGAGCTTGTTGACAATAAAAATATGTGTGAATTGGTACACGTAACATTCTATCCACAATAATAATCTTCTTTGACATAAAACTACTCGGATGTTTTAATTTATAAAACTATGCATTTTGAAAAGAGAGCCTTGATATTATTTGAATGTTCAGATTTTTACTCTTTATTCTTCAATAGACTCTTTAATACAAACTGTCAACAAATACAAAGAGCAAAGATAAGTGTTGAAAAATGGATAATCATTATGAACATTATGATTCCTTTGTTTACAAAACTGTCAAAATGTATTTATTACTTATCATTAATGATCACTGTATGTCAAAAATGTATTGATTAGTGTCATTCCTGTGTGATTAAATTACTATTACGTATGTTTCCTGTGTGATTGAAAAACCACCAAAACTGTCAAATWGCATAAATGACCCATAAATCATTTTTTTGGATCACTGTATCATTGAAAAATATCAACTGCCAAAATGCATTTATTATTATTTATCATTCCTGTGTGATTAAATAAAGGATATTACATGGGTGCATGGAAATATTGTGCTAACTCGTGGGATATATAAATTCAAAACTTAGAAAATAAAATTCATATCTTCAAGCGACAGCTGTAATGTTCTGTCTATTAAATGACATTGGTGTAAGCAAAAGTCTGTAGTTACATAATCTTTAGAAGATCAAAAAGTTTGAACATTTCAAGAACATATTATTTATTAATTTATGATTTCTGCATGATTGAATAATACCAAAACTGTCAAAATGCATTTATATTATTTGATGATTCCTGTAAAGATTGAAAAATACCAACTATTAAGAATTTAAAACAACAAAATTGCAAACAATTTCTATTGACATATAAAGATGCATTTGTTATTATTTTTATTATTTCTGCATTGTGATTGAAAAATTTCAAAACTGTCAAAATGCATTTGTTATTATTTTATGATTTCTATGATTGAAAAATACCAAAACTGTCAAAATGCATTTAATATTATTTATAATTCCTCTATGATTGAAAAATGTCAATGAAAATATAATTATATATTAATTAATATAATTAATATTGATTTATGATTTCTGTAAGATTATCTAAGGAAGTTTTATTTTGGTAAATAACCACAAGAATTCAAAATAAGTGGTTTTCTTTACATATAATTATATATATCACTGCTTTGCATCAACAAAGCTGAAGAGAAAAAGTTTAATAATTATTTAATGTAATGCCATGGAATTTTTTTTTTGTTAGCAAAAATAAATTAGTCTTGACAAAACATGTACTCAAAATCTGACTAATTGTCTTGCATGATTGCATCACATCTTCATCCAACATCCATATCTTTTGGGAGCTCCGCTATTAGGTTTTACCTAATTTTTATATTAGTTTTATACTGCAGATCGTAATAAAATAAAGAGAAAACAAGTAAAATTGTTTGAATCTATAATAATCTATTGTTTTTAGGTTCGAAGGAACCGACCGAGWTTGTGCTTTGTCACGCAATACAATGTCGGATCTAAAGTAGCATGATCTATTTTGACGGAATACTTAATTCCGTGGGAATTACTATTCATAAGAAGCCTAAAGCCTTTAGAGACCATATTTTGACTTAAGCTATAAGTAGTTTTGCTTGTATAATCAATCACGCTTTGTTAATCATGACTTAAAATAAGGTCATGCAAAATAGTCGACCTTGTMAGATGATGAGGGTATTACAATGGACTTCCAGGAACAGAACTCCGCATGCRTTTCCATGTAAATTGCTTCTAGGAACTTCGCGAAATCACAAAATAAKAAGYACAAAGCAAAAGTCTGRCTTTTAGGATATTTCATAAACATCGTGAATTGTTTCGCTTCGCTTGAACTCTTGAATAAMATTTAATACCCAGGAGAGGAGCAAAACAAGGGACTTCCAAGAAGTGTTTATTTTGAATGACAGTATAATTTCGATTCTAGGAACTTGACGACGTTGTATATAAAGAACAGATTCAATATATCACAAAGTCTTTGTCCAAAGATCTGTTTTAACGGCACAGAAGATGAGGTACTCTAAACGAAAACCAATGAGGCAATGGATTAARGARAAACTCGAYTCCAAATCATATCCAGGMYTRAGATGGATCGACAAGAATCGAGGAAAATTCGAAATTTCRTGGAAACATGGYTCTTTAGAGACATGGAGTTGGGAAGAAGACGTACACGTCTTTCGTGAATGGGCGATTTACACAGGAAAGTATCAACCRCATAATAAAACTGTTACACAAGAAGATATTGAACTAGCAAAGACTTGGAAGACGAATTTTCGCTGTGCACTGAACGCTCTTCCGGGTGTTGAAATGGTCAAAGAAGAGAGTTCTGCTCGTGGAGCGAATGCTCGCAAAGTGTACATTATGAAAGTAGATAATAAAAAGAAAAAGAAGCGAAGATGCGAAGGTATGGAGAGCTAGATACACCAAGATGGTTTGTAACTGAATCAGTTAATAAATGTTATTAAAGGTTGATTGGCACAAACTAAGTTACAGTTGCGATTAAACGATAATGGTAGAATCTTTCTCGATTTTTTACTTTAAAGGGCAACCGTTTCATTATAGAGAACTATATTAGGAAAAAAAAACAATTTACGCTGATCATAGCGCTATAGATATTATCTAATATACAAAAAGCACTAAAAGTAGTTTCTTTTAAACTGGGTTCAAGTTAAATTTAATCGAATGTAGGTTATACAAATAACATAAGTTTCSCCAACGGAGTACACAGGCTCCTATAGGAATAGGTCCGGTTTGTCCAGGCCAATTGGGGTGGGTGTTATTCGCATTTCAGTTTTCTTAGGCTCAAGCTTGACGTAACAGTCTTTCGATTTTAGATCAAAAATCACTAGATCTCGAGACGAAACCRTTAACACCAATAAGTGAGGGAATAGATCAACAGGTAAGCCATTATTTCATTTTTTGGTGAAATTACACATGAAATGACTATAAGAGTCTTTTTCGAAAAGGTGAAAATGACATCCGTAAACATTCTCGCAACGGTTGTAAACATTCTAATGTTAAAAGTCAGCTAAGACAGCTAATTTAGCAACAAGAGATGGTACAGGATTTGAATTAATTTGACTAATTTCATCGTGAATTTTTTTCACGGATAACTAAAACCATGAAATAGTTAAAGAATAAGTAGTCTTAAATTGTTGTACTCCTTTTAATACGGACTGACATACAGGATATTACATGGGCGCGCGGAGATACGGATTTCATATCCACATTTATATCGTTGTTTCTGTATTTATGTGTGAAAATWAAATATTTATTTTGTTTACATGGTTGTTGTTTACAGGCAATTGACGAAATCGAAAGGCAGCTCTCTCAAAGTTCAACAATATTCAAGAAAGACTTAGCTGACTTAGGCGAAATGGAAGATATTTTTCAGTGCGGTATAGGTTTGTACAGGCAATACACTGATCTACAATGTCTAATAATGATCTACCATGCTCTAAGTTTAGAAAAATCGAAGAAAAAGAGAGAGACAAGAAAAACAGTGAACTAAACAAAATAGTAATGAAAAAGAATAAAAAGAAAAATATGTAAAAAATCGACTGAGTATCAGCGAGCTTTCCATTAATATTAAAATAAAACAAACTATTTTCAAACTTTCTGAAAAAATGGTCCGAGATCATCCTCTAATGCAAGTACAGAACACTTAAAATTTCAAATGGCAAATTTAGCTCTAATGTATGTTATCAGGGACCGCGGAGCAGGAAGGGCAGGCTACAGCCCCCTCCAATAATTTTTCCGCCATTTTGATTTTTCTTAAATAAAGAAGCGAAGAGTCTCCTTGTGAAATTACACTTTTCATTCTATGAAGATTGTATAAAAACTGAGCGTAAACAATTAAAATTGAAGCTTTTTTGCGAAGTCTTTGGGATTTTATTGAGTATCATGTGATGACCGTGTGTGCGGTTTTATCGGTTAGAAATATGTATTGGAAAACGCCTCAAAACGCTGCAAATGACATCTCCGAGAATTAAGATTTCAAAATTTTCCGGTAGAATATCTCTAACCCCCCAGTACCTCCTTCCTTCTGCAGTCGCTAACGCCCCCCTCCCCTCCCCCCAAACAGACTCCCGCTTCGCGATCCCTGGTTATTGTGTTCGAATGACATTGTCTTAATAATAAACTTAATTTATGAGATTGTTCAGTGTAAACGAAACTACAAAAGCTACACTTTTCTGGCGCCTTTGGTGCGCAAGCTTGGCTATTAAAACTTATCGTATTAAACCCGACTGAGCTGACATGATGGTTGTAACAGACCATAAAGTTCATAGTATTTTTCATACAATTTTTTTTCTTTTGTCCTAGGTGATTTTTTTACCGAGTGAAACTTCATAACTTTTCCACTGGAAAAGTGGCTGACCCAACTGTTCAAACCTTGGCAATGTATGGAACTACAAATGCAAATCACAACTATAATTCTGATGTACACTTTGATGTTGTTTAGTGGCGATATATTAATATTAGGATAACATGAAAGCAAGTTAGAAAAAAAACAGCAACAAAGTGAGATGAAGTTGAGAATAGGGCGACTGCAACTATTTGATTATGAAGATTATGAAAAAAAGAACAAAAATTTGCACAATTTTGCACTTAAACCATTGTTTATCATTACAATTATCTGCGAGCGTGAACAGATGTTATTTATTCACCATCAGAGAAGTGGGAAAGCTGCCGGTAGTTCATCGCCCAGGCATTCACTCGCCGGGGAAGAAATCAATACTTAAATGACTTCATAATTGACTATCTTAATAAGAGTCATGAGCAACCAGCATTCAATGCGGTCGTGTTTTTTCCACATATGGAAAAGAGGCGACTTCAAATATCCATTCGCAATCCATTTCCATCCGTCGGTTTTAAAATTGAATCTTAAAATAACAACATTCATATAGCACAGAGGGATAATAAAGAGTAAGGCTTTGTTTATATACTAAAACGATGTATTTTTATTCTCAAAATGTAAACAAAAGCTTGTCAATGGTGCTGGTTGAACATGGCCATTTAATCTTGTGAAAAAGCAGTCTTTAGTTCATAAACATAGAGAAAAAAACAAGATGTAAATATTTGAGAGATGAAGATATACTTATATTTCGTCTTTATGTTCTCTAGGCACATTATTTATAAAAATAGCAAAACATTTATGGATACTTGAATAAATTAAGTTGAAATTTTTCGTGAAAAAGATTTTGATATTTTTGCAAGGCTTAAGATAAGGTGTCTTGCTGGGCAAGCGGGGGAGATTTGCCAGGAAGCAGGAGTTTTCTTGCCGGTAAAGCAGAGAGCCTTGCCGGACAAACAGGGATGTCTTCCCTGGTAAGGAGGGGTGCCTTGCCGAGCGAGCAGGGGCGGCTTGCCTGGTAAGTAGGGCTGCCTTGCCAGGCAACATGGGCGTTTTGCCCTGTAAGTAGGCTGCTTTGCCGGGCAAGCTGGGGTGCATTGCCTTGTAAGTAGGGGTGCCTTGCCGGGCAAGCAGGGGCGTCTTGCCTGGYAAGGAGGGGTGCCTTACCGGGTAAGCAGGGATGCCATGTCGGGTAAGAAGGGTTGTCTTTATGTCAACTGCTGTTGAGGAGTACTTTCAGACAATAATTCATTAATGATAGTTGTATCTTTTATTGGAATTGCGTATATTTCACTTATAACAATTGATATATTTATTTATTATTATATATGTTTATTTGTGAAAAAATGCGTAGCAAAGTACAACAAATTGGATTTGATGTTTATCTGTTTTCCAAATGTAATTACAAAATGGCGTGCATTTCTGTTTTTACAGATGAATCATTCAATTCAATCTTCTCAAACACAATAGAAAAACACGGAAACACAAATAWAAAAGAAAAAGAAATAAAAGGACACTTTTTAACCGATATACAAATCAAAGTAACATGACAAAGTGTTTCAGCTAAAAATAACAACTAATCAGATATGTCTATCTTTTGACATAACACAAAAAAGGATATTGAAAAATGATATAATTTCCATTCGCTTATAGCTTCCAGTACTGGTAGCTAAGGACACTGAAGAAAACATACAAAAAGAACGCAAAAATACAAAGACATATCAAAAAATATATAAAATATGGCAGTTGCAGTCGAGCTGGAACTAAATTACCAAAAACAAATTCATGCAATATGAATGAAAAATAGTAATATATTATCTTCCAATATGGCGTTATTTAATAGAGCATTCGTTCTTAATTTTGTTTAATCATTTTTCCTCCTCCCCCAGATACTTCGCTCTACTTGTTTGCAAAGATTGAGCTTTACCAGGGGAAACAGGGGGTGCGACAATTCCTTATGTACGACACCAGCTCTCCAGAGTTGACCTGCATCAACACTGTGTACGTTGTCAACTGCAAAGCAAAATAAACGATGTAAAACAATCTCGTACCCAGAGCCCGCACTTTTGCCATCGAGCTGAAGTCATTGCGTGAGAGGTTTTGGGGGATTGCGTTATTTCTCGATTCGTGATTGGGTGGAAATGACGCGAGCGTGCATTGTTTTTTTAAGTCGCAAGCGCACGTTCACTTCATTAGTCAAGAAAATCATACTTAATTTCTCAAATAGGCACACGTTTTTACAAATATTTGTTCTTAAAAAGGTGTCAATATCGTTCCTAGACTAAGTTCTTTTTTGTCATTTTAATGCTCTATAGCAAAAAAAAATAAACCGAGCTTATTTGCATAATTTGCGATGGAAAAGCGTCCCAAATCCAGTCGATTCCTACAGAGTCTTGCTACGCCAGTATACCGCTGACATTAGCCGAGAAGACTCTGTGCTCGAGATTTGATGTTAACAGGAAATTAACAGCGACGACGCCATTTTGTGCAGCAAAGCATGATGGGAGGTGTAGTAATCGGACTTTTTAATGTCCACTAAAACAGTCAGGAAAAGTCCTAGGTCATTGTGACGTCATATCAAAACATTTTATTGCTTAACGCTAAGAATTATGGTGGACAGAGGGGATCATAGTGGCTGCATGTCAAATAAAATGTATGTGAGCAATCATTTATACATGATATACATCAAAATTCCATAAATTAAAGTTCTGCTTTAGGAGAAAATATAAACAAGTCCAAATTTCCACTGTTTTTGAGCGCCGTTTTAACGTGTAAACATACTGTGACGTCATAATGAAATAGTGCAATTATCAAAGTGATGAATTACCTTGTTGAGGACTGGTTGTGAAGAGAGAACATTGTAAAGACCTTTGAATCCGATCTCCTATCAAATAAATCGTGAATAAGATCAATATATTACACCACTGAACGACAATTTTTTAAATCGAACGAGGCACACACACACACACAAAAAGGATCTCTTAAAACTTTTACCAGTTCTTTTCTTTCTTTTTTTTCACCACAGTTTGACGTAATTTAATTTCAGAAGATTTACTATTAACGATAAAATTACTTACACTCTGGCCAACTTTATTCATGCAAAATGTTCCCTAAAAATAACCGAAAAATAAAAAAATCATCATTATGTATACCCGTGAAACCAAGTTTGTTGGTCAATATCCAATGATAATACGATTCACCAAAAAGGCAAAGATAAACAGAGAAAATAAAGAGTAACAAATTGTAATGCATGTACGCAAAAGTGTATTTCAGAGGTTTAGAGAGAAGTCATCAAAACCGTGAAACAAAAATTCACTACTAGAGTTTGATAGATTGCAAATATTGTAARATTGTATGAATAACAGTAGATCGTGGTCCATAAATCGACCTGAATTCATCCTCTACTGCTCCATAATTTCATCTCCACGCCACTTCTTCTAAGTCAACAMWTTCCCTACCCTTCCCCTGTGTGTAATTCTTTCAATGAGCACAGGAAACCCATAAGAGATTTTAAGAAAACWAATCTCTAGGATAKTTCGTACCGGTGTTCGTCGATCATCGATCAAGAGTGGAGGCTTCCAGAAGTCATAATTTGTCTGTAAAACAAACCATTTCCCTTTGGCAGGGTCCATTCTAGGAGAACAAATAAACAAATGACTGTTTAGAAACCAGCGGTTTCGTATCCCTATGGCGTCATTTTGGATTTGCCGAAGGGCATCACGGTATTGATAAAGTAGCAAGATGGCAGATGTTATCACAACAGTACAAAGAACGAAGTTTCTATGCAAAATCCATGCTTTCCGTCGACGAGGATAATAGCCGATTTGCGAATTTCACCTCAGTAGTGAAACACAAAAGAATCAAGACGAGGCGCTGTGCGAAATGTCTTATTTATGCACGGCGTCTCGTCTTGATTCCTTTGTGTGTGACTAYTGARYAAAAATTCGCAAGTCGGCTATTTGACCTGAGAAAGCAGTTGCACACTAGACGATACTCAAAGACCTATTTGAGCAATAGTCTCCTTCACGGTCACCTGCGCCATCTTGAAAGGTAGCCGTGCCTTTGCATCGAAGCGAGACGAACGTTGAGCGTGCAATGATAGAAACCTTCTTTCACACCWACAGACAATTATTCACAGGTTTCTATCATTGCACGATCAACGGTCGTCTCGCTTCGATGTAAAGGTACGGCTACCTTCCTTTCAAGATGGCACAGGGAACCGCGAAGGAGACTATTATAGCAATGCGCGATGAGGAGATCCCAGCCCGGAATGTAACGGAAGGATAATGGCGACACGCATCATAACATAAAATGTTTCATAACAAACTCCAGCCATGGGGTAGGGTCGTTATTGCTTTCCAGTTTTAATTCCAGTTTTACCTGTTTTCCTGCAGGTTTTTTGTCCGATCACGTGTTACAACCACACCCTAAGAAATAGATCAGATGATAGTTAATTAACTAACATTAGCAGCGAGCTACAGTAACGTACGGTGGAACCTATGATGACCATCATCCAATGAACTTCTAGGAGCGTCTACTCTTATTACTTTAACTAACCTCTCCAGATTTGTTTCCTCCGAGGATGTAGTACACAGGTGCCAGCACTTCCGTGTTAGCAAGCATGTCATGTGCCTCAGAAAAACTAAATAAARAAACAAAAGTGAAAATAGGCAGAAAAGAGGAATGGAATGGAAAGATGATGAAAAATAAAATAAAGACAGGAGAAAAAAAGAAACGGCGCATTACAATATTTACACTGTAACTACCATCATATCAACAAAGTCGCAACGTGCAATACCTATTAGCGTGCTCTAGTACATCTCTTGAAAGAAAACTGGACCATTTTGCATCTCTTTTCCCAAATATCCACTCAATTATTCCTGTTGCATAAACGAATAAATTAAAAAAATGGTTGACTACAAAAACACTATAACACTGTACTAGAATCAATTTCGTATGAGTGGGAAACGGACGGTACTGTACTGTAACCGTAATCGTACTGTAATCAAATTCTAGTGTCTCATTGTTTCACAAAAATTGTGCGGGCCAGGTCCGGTAACTGTGAGGTAACCGTGCGGTAATTTCTACCGTACGTTTCCCACTCATACGAAATTGACTCTAAAAGCCCTGCAGAAAATAATATGACAACCCAACAGAAAAGCTTAGAGGTTTATTTATTTATTTTTTAATTTGAGGACCTAGCCTCGTTCAGACAAGCCCTGGGAATGAGATTGATTTCAGGCCAAGATCTTCCTTACTTTACTTTGTAGAGAGTTTTTCTTTTATAACTTACCAATATAACCACCGTTGATGTTGAACCTTTCATTCAGTGTCAAAGAGAACAAACCCTGTCAATCAAAATGAACCAGTCACAACATGGCATTAATAATCAATAAAGACAGGCGGCCATGTTGTAGGAATGAGCAATAGATACAATACTAATGAGAAATCCTTTATTGAAGTTCTTTCAAGATGSCCGCTGTGAAGAATTTGTAAGAAGAAAATGTTTATCTAGTATTATATTCTAAAATCGAATTCTGAAGAGTACATTAGGATACTCCATTTTACAGTTCTTTTTGCCATCMGAGAATGCCTTTGCATTTAGCCATCCGACAATGCCTTTGCACCAAAGCAAAAGCCCGACAATAAATCTGAAGTGACAGATACTTTTTACACTTTTAACATGATTGACAGCTGTCTATCATTGCAGGCTCAASCGCTGTCTCACTTTGATGTAAAGGCATGAATACTTTTCAAGGYAGCGCTGAGAACTGTAAAAACGAGTACGGCAGCCACCCACAATAAACAGTCTGTTTAATACCAAGTATAAATAAAATAAAAAAGTATAGCCATTTTTTCTCTTACAGGTGATTGTTTCTTTTTGTCACTGTAAAGACCTGTTTAAACTGGCGATTTTTGCGGTTATTTTTGCCGAGATTTTTGTGTTCTTCTTGATCCYAGGGAATAACGCTAAATAATTGACTTGTAAACTCTTATTCAGTACACTAAGATGAGATAACTTAAACACCTCCTCAAGGACAAGACAAAATCTTCTTTATATTTTTGAAAATCGCCCGAAAAATTGCAGGAAAAATCGCCAGCAAAAATCGCCGCAAAAATTGTAAGTGTAAACATAGGCCGCCCAACTAATACATTAAAGACAGAAAAGAACGAATGCGTACGCTTTTATTTATGTATATGTATCGGCGCGCGCTCAAGATTAGCAAAAATGCGGGTTACCTGTGGCGGTACGTCACTATCTCGCGCCTCGCGACTACATACTAATCGTGACGTAGCACCACAGGTAATCCGCATTTTTGCTAAGAGCGCGCGCCGATACATATACATAATAAAAGCGTACGCATTCGTTCTTTTCTGTCTCTAATGCATTAGTTGGGCGGCCTATGATATATATACATAATAACAAAGCGTACGCATTCGTTCTTTTCTGTCTCTAATGCATTAGTTGGGCGGCCTATGATATATATACATAATAACAAAGCGTACGCATTCGTTCTTTTCTGTCTCTAATGCATTAGTTGGGCGGCCTATGGTGTAAACGGGCCTTAAGAGAGATCATGGCCTTCATAAAAACTCACCGGCTTTAACCCTGTGATGACTCCAACATATCCAGCAAAACTAACTGTCTTGTACAATGTCTTGCCTCCTTTCTGTCAACACAAGGTGACTCACATCTAACTAAATTACTTACTGAAGTAGTCAGGTAGATTGATTGG